CCCCCCCAATAAATTTTACCCTGCTACGGCACTGATAAGTATAGTTGAGCTTGACCTCTGTAACCAATGAAATAAACCATGTTATTAATTACCGTCTCTACTTAAATAGCCATCGTAAACTTTATCAATTTAAAACGCTTTGTCCGATTTATGCTTCTGTTAAAATGACGATCATGTTCGCCTAGGTTTAGACGCATGTTGTTCACCCGCAGCCGTGATTGGAAACAAAATCTAATGCTCTGAAAGTACTTTACTTTAGCAATTCCTGGAATTTCATTTTACAATCAACGTTATTTGCCTATTAGTTTCTACTTACTTTGAGCTTGAAGCATGTGTTTTGATATCAAAGGCAACGACTTTTATGAAGTAACCAATCATGGCTGAGCACGTGGACTCAGCCTATGTTTGGCCTATTTCTCGCGCTCAATGACTGTTACCATCAGGGCGTATATATGGGCCGCCCTGCGGTCTTACATGTATATCAAGAATGTACTTTTTTTGTTGTTTTTAAATAGGTGTAATTACGCTTAAACATTTTTGTCTTATATATCTCGCTGAATTTACAAAAACGAACTGTACGTTTATGTCAGCCAGTAACTCAGAAACTTGTAAAGAGAACGTAGCATGACAGGGGTCGAAATGTTCCCAGAGTGTTAACCTGTGTCTAGCGACAGGCAGATTATTTTTTCACCTGTCTCCACCCACATCAAACTTATTTTAATAATGCAGAGTGGCTAGTTTTACTGATGAGCATCCCTTGCTTCATGTGAGCGGACATTCTCTATGCGCAATGACTCACAGCCTGAGATAAATTTGTTTCTGCTTTTTTTCAAACTCTTTGCAGTGGGAACAGAACATCTTTCCATCCTCTGCTGAGCACAGGCGCCCATCTTTCCATTTCTCATTAAACTTGAATACTTGAACAGTATTACGTTTCGCCGTCTGTGTTTCGAAATTCTATTCTGCTTACACTTCTTCAACTTCCGCTTCTTTAGTACCTTGTTCACGCGTTAGAAAACGATCCATATTAATTACGAACTGAAAAACTGAACTCATTCCCATTTACTGTCTTTGTCATGCGCACTGCAAAGATTTTACATTTTGCTTTTATTGACTACCGTGCGAGAATTGCACTAGTGAGCACGACTGAAGGTGGAAAACAGATGAAAATATTATTCAAATCGATAAATTCTGAATTACTAAGGATTATCCTGCCTGTCGCCAGCGACAGGCATCAATATCTTTTACCTGCCACTTCCTAAAATTACCAGAAATCGACAGGTAGACAGGCAACGTTTCGACCCCTGGCTTAAATTGCAGAAAGTTTACTTAATTGAAAGTTTTAATGTGAGTAATTGGTTTGTTGGGTAGAGCTAGTTTCCAAAAATAAAGTGTTCATTTTCGAAGAGATTTATGCTTTGTGAGCTTTTCTTCGACTAAAGAGGACAAATTAATCTGTCCCGCAACACCTAAAACAGTTCATTCTGTAGAGACTTGAATAATCATTTAAAGCCTGAAAAATACTTAAAGCTTGAACTTGATTCGAACCCGTGACCTCTGCGATACTAGTGCAGTGCTCTACCAACTGCTAACTGGGAGCTGGTAGGGTTGGTAGTTCGTAATATACCCGTAGATAGTAAAGAATGCAAGTAAATATATGTAGAATAAAAAATAAAATAGAAATCAATGAGGCCGCAGTTCGATGAGTGGGCCTCACGGCGTGATCAAATGTAGAAATGGGAGTTATAGGGGTGGGGGGCGGAGGTGGTGCCGAGAACAAGAATGTATCAATAGAGAGGGAACCCCTTACGAAGCTCAGTCTAGCCACGTTAATAGAGGGTGAGAATCCTGCTGAAGCGAATTTGGGAAGCTGAGGTTTCCTCCAGAGCTAGCGAAAGCTTTAAACTTACTATTATTCTTCGGTCAATTTCAATTCACCTACTCTCGTTCGCGACCTACTAAACGGTAACTTCTCCTTTAGAAAGACATGAATTTACACGCATAACTTTCATAAAATTAAACGGCATCGACTGGAGAAGTCAGAAACGATGGGATCACTATGGACCGCAGCTTAAAGCTAAAAATATAAAGTAAATAAATTAAGATATCCTTATTAGTAAAAAGAAAATATATTTCTGCAGACTGTTATTGTAATTACTCTGAAGACTTTCTGACTGTGAAAATTAAGGTTCTTGGTGGGAGGATAAACAAACAAATCGACCTAAAAATATGCTTATGGATTCATTTGGAGATTTCATGTTTTTGTATTTTGACGATGCGATCCGTATCCGATCTGGTGATCCGATCCACGATTTAATTTCGTCTTTGGTCGCGAGAACACACGCGATTTCCGAGAAACCAGACACGAGTTCCCGGTATTCGACTTCCGCTTTGGCGCCGACTAATGTCAATTTGTGTAGCAGCATCAGCGGTGACAGGCTGTCAGATTTTTCAGGAATATGATGGGCACACGACAAGGTAAGGTGAATTTTAATAAAATAGTAGAACCAAGAAAGGCTCTACGAGAATTTAATCAAACGCGCCATACTGAAATGAAGGATTACAACCATTGCTAAGTTGTGATGTGATGATGTGCTGGTCGCCTTTAGGTTAAAATCTGCGCTAGTACGGGCGTTATTTTGAATTTCAAAGAAAGTCGTGAGTTCGACAGAATAAGGGGAACAATTTTCGAGTGGAGAGCCTCGATGTTTCTACGAAATGCTCTAAAAAGTGGCCGCGTATTGACTTGCCTGATATCTTCGACCGAAGTTATTCACTTTCGCTTTTCAATTCCGGCCACTTCGTCGACTGGTTCGCTGATACAAAAGCGTACTAGCTAAATTTAATTAGTTTAGTTTAAGGTAATCTAAATTACGATTAAACACTGAGTAATGAGTACTGTTGATATGATGTTTGCTTGGTTTTCGAGAACATTAAAATGGCGACAAGAAGAGACTTCGAGCATTCACCGAGATAACAATTAACCGGCTTCACTTATGTTGTTCAAATGGTAAAGCTCAATGAACCGTACCAGTTAAGCCAGCTGTGTTATGGTTTCCTATGTCATCTCTTTTGCAACAAAACTTGTGCACATGGTCATGTGCAGAGATTGTACATGTAGAAGCCAGAAATATTAAGAATACTAAATCTAGGATTGCCTAAGCCACTACCTGCAGGCAAAATGTTTATAATATGGTAAACATTAAAAAGTTAGAAGAAGTTTGATTGTAAACTTGAGGTGACTGCATTGGGAAGACTGATTTGGTGTAGGGCTGCATGGTCACTGTTCAATGTCAATATGGTTTGTCAATACGTCATTTACTATAATAAAGTATAGCTTTAGTCATCTTGGATTTCTTGAGAGGGAACCTACATGTAAGTTTACAAGGCCAGTGTTATTAATAATTAAAAAAATGGTGAGGGAGCCTAATTATTAGGCTCCCTCACCATTTTTTTCTATTATTTGCTTACTAATAATTGTAGCATTTCTTTGTTTTTTTTGTTTTTTGTTTTTGTTTTTTTATTGCAAATAATTATTATATGGCTCTGTCTCACAAGGACTGGGAACAACCAAATTCACAAATTTGATTGGCTGAAATTGATATTGAAAGTGGTCTAGATTTTCCCATCTAGACCGGCATCTAGACTGGTAATGTTTTGCAGTGAAAAAGTTGCAAACTAAAATGCAAAATCATTGTCTAATTTCTTTTAACAACATTTATTCATGGAAGTGCCAAAGAGTCTGATGAGGACAAAAGTAGAGAGGACAAGCAAACTTTAGCAGAATTAAGTTCAGCTTATCGCTGTTCACATGCAAAATGTCAGCTAGTACAAACCAGTTACATTAAAGGAATTAAACTGTTCTTGTTTGCCTTATAATAAACATCTTTATTACTAACTGAGCTTAGTCGGTCTGTATGGGAGAATCTTGATCTCGGTCATGTATACATACCTCACTGCGTTAAGTCTGTAGTCATGACCTCGGTTAAGATTCTCCCATACAGACCTGCTCGGTTAATAAGAGCTAAAAATAAAATAAATAATTCAGGCTTGATGGAATATTTTTAACACAAAAATTAACAAAATTAATAAATGACGTTTCATCATCATCAGATGTCATTGTCAAGTAAATGTGTAGGTTAGTTAATAGATCTACAATTATGCGCATAAGGTGGCAAGATACGTTAAGTGACAAGAAAAGTGGTTATCATTATGTGTACTATTGGGTTTTCTTGTTTTCCTGTCGTTTAATGTACTTTGCCACCTTATGCGCATTATTTTAGATCTAATTATGATGCAAAAGCTAACCTACACATTTACGTAGCAATGATATCCAATTTTGCTAATTTTTGAGTTTAAAATCAAAAAAAAAAAATGGAATAAAAATATTCTTCAAATCAGCATTGAGCAGTAAGCCATGTTCAATCGATTATTTAACATCAATGATCCTCATTCATCTTGAATATTTTTTCTTGCACACGATTGGTCTAAGGGCTTCAGTCATCATGGTCTGTGAATGCCCAGGCGGGGCAATATATTCCCCAATAGGCCACTTTCGATAGTTATATTAAAATTCAGCTTGATTGTGAGGCCTAGAGGACACAAACAAAAGAAATGAATAGACCTGGTCATTCAATTTCCTTTGTTTGTGTCCTTTATGCCTGGCTGCAAGCTGAATTTCATTATATTGAAAGTGGTCTATTTTTAAAAGATCCCATGTTTTGAAAAAAATGACAGGTACACACTGAGTAGATCATGATTTTTTTTTCAAGTAATTTTAAGTGCAAACTTAAAAACTGATGTACCTGCTGTCAACTTGTACTTGAAAATAAGACCGATAAAAGCCAACTAAAAAGAAAAGCTCTCATTGAGAATTTGAAACTCCAAATAGAGGGAATGAGGGTTGAATTGATATAGAATCTGCATGAGCTTGGTCGTGTTTGTTACTTGTGTTGTTTTCTTACTACGACATTCACATTTTGCCTGGTCACTATTCATAGCTCATACGTACCACCCCCATCTGCTAGGAGCATAAAATATTAACCCTCTGATGCTCATGCAGCTTTGGGGTAGAGGATACATTGGATGCCATCCCATCTGTGGATGATTGTTTGAAAACGAGATATTCTGACTAGAATTTACAGTACCCTTATATAGTACCTTAGTTACCCCTTGTGTTCATTTCGATGTGCAAACCAATCAACCCATTATTTTATATAACCTTGGCAACCGTTTAAGAATGATGATCAATTTTTGTGTTCTGATATTCCCGCGCACTAGGCGCCAGGTTCCCTTGAAACTGGCGTCACACGCTAACTAGCGACTCACGAGTTTTTCTGTTCCGTACAGGGTGGCACCTCGGTGTTGATTTAATTTTACGTCGGGCTTTAGATTTATTGCAAGGTTTGTCAGTTGCCACACTACAGTAGCATGTCCTAAGGTTATGAAAGGTTTAATGGAGGACATTGTGAGCCAGAGTTGTGGTGCAATAAAAGTTACAACTGTTTCATTTAGACGAATGCCATGGTCTTACGGGGCAGTTATTCATCTATGGTTGCATCTGTAGAATATAAATTAGACGGAGCTCTTTGCTTGACTTCGACAGTTCGACTATCGTCGAGAGAGATATTTTAAAAAATAATTTCCAAATCAGCTGAGTTATCCTATTCCAGAACATTTTCCAATCATTACCGGTACATCAATAACAGGGTAAGAGATTTCACAGTAGTTGCATTTTGTTCATTGCATCACACAGCTTGTCATTCTTGAGGGTGGTAAAGGGTATTATCGTGACTCGTGTCGGCCCCTTTTTTTTTCCCGTGAAATGTGAAATGGCTAATTTTTTCCTCGTGAATCGTGATTTCGATAGTCGCCATGAACCGTGATTTTCCAAAACGTTCTCTTTTATTTTCCGTGAAGCGTGAAATGCCAATGTTGTATTTTTCGTGAATTGTGAAAGGGCTGCTTTATTTTCCATGAAACGTGATCTATACCGCCCCTTTACCACCCTCATTCTTTAAGAGCAGTTTTCATTTCATTCGAGGAAAAAGTACAACAGCATTCGGCAAACAGTCGGGCTCTCTCATGTCATATTGAGATTCACCTCCCTCTGTTTGCAGATTACGATTAAGACTGTAAGTAGGTGTTGTTCCAATTTTCTTCAGCAGAGGCGACTTTGCATCATAGATGTCCGATATGTCTTGATACCATGGTAAACCCTCGAACTATAAAGTGTGGACATGTTTTCTGCGAAGATTGCTTGAAGAGAGCGCTGGGTATACTCAACATCTGCCCCATTTGTAAAGAGCCACAGGGCATTGTTACGGGAAATCAACCTCCTGGACAGATGACTTGGTCCTCCATGCCATCTAGTCTACCAGGTCACTATGGTAAGTCATTATCTCTCCGTTTTGACTTTAGTTTTGCTCATATGATTAAATCTTGGGCTTCACAAGTTCGCGCCCATCCCCTTCCAGAGTTACTGTTGGAAGGTTCTGGGAATTAAGCCGTGAAATCTCTTGGAACAGAATGTCGGAGTTTAACTGATATCTGACAACTGGTCAAAAATTTAATTGTTTGCTGAGAAATAATGCTTTTTAACTGGTAAGTGAGATCTCAATCTACAAAATGTACCGATAGCCGTTAGAAATGGGCTGAAATCTCCGGGAATTGAACTAATAACTAAGATTGTTGGCAGGAAAAAAAAAAACTGTTGGCAGGAATATCTGACCAGGTTAAATGTGGTAATTCATTGATAATGACCAAGTAATACAATTTTTCATGTCGTTCATCGCCAGGGTGTGGTACCATCTGCATTCAGTATTCCTTTCCATCTGGAATTCAAGGTCCAGAACATCCGAATCCCGGTCAGCATTACAGTGGCACACACCGTACTGCTTATCTCCCTGATAACAACGAGGGCAGAGAAGTCCTGCAGCTATTACACAGAGCTTTTAATGCACGCCTGGTGTTTACTGTTGGGACCTCGATAACAACAGGACTTTCGAATCAAATAACGTGGAATGATATACATCATAAGACCAACATGCACGGAGGAGCCCATGGGTATGAAGTCTTACTACTTTATTGCCCATTCATTTTGGTGTTTAATTCTATTTCCAACTGTGATTTGAATGATGTGGTCCTTGATTTCTTTGTCTTTTAATTCCTTTGTTCATGCTATTTTCGTTTGTTGTTGCTTTAAATTGAAATACTAAATTGCTATTGGGGATTACACATGCACTCTTCTAACCCCAGGTCAACGACAATAAAATGATAAATAAAGGAGAGCACTTACTAGTTTCCCTACATTTATTATTGTGTTGATTAATGTAACAATCTTCGTTTACCTCCTACAGCTTTGGTTACCCCGACCCGCATTATCTTCGACGAGTCAAAGAAGATCTCGCTGCAAAGGGAATCCGTTGATTCTGGTTCCTACGGGCCACAGACAAGGAGACGAAAAACGTTTCGTCGCAGATATAGTTTTTTAGGCCTATTGGTTCACTAAGAGGGTAACCACCACGTTATTGAAAATACTTTGCGTCTAGAAGAGGATTATTTCATCACCGTTGTTTTTACGACTGTTATTTAATGGCCTGTATACGCGGTAAAATGAGTTATATTTTGTTATAGGTATTACTGTAAAATATTAAAACAGCAGCATTTTTCATGTTTCCATGTGCATAGCTATTTTGAACTAGAGCTCAGGAGAGGAACTTATGGGAAGGAATGTCGCAACGCGGCTCATATTATGACTTGCGCACTTAAGCCGGACTGCATTTGACGACCACTATAAAATTTGATAAAACAAAAGAAACTTGACTACTGCTTAACTACTTACTGCGGCGCCCCAGACATCACAGACCTGACTAGGCTACTCATTAAGTATAGGACTGTACGTAGTATAGTACTC